TGGTAGAATTTTTTATTGAACAGGAAAAAGTTATGTGACAAAATAAAGTTCAACAAGTTTGTGACAAAGTCGGTATGTGCCTGATAGTCTGGGCCCCTTTTTGTTAAGAAATATTTAGTATGTTCAGTTCCCTTTTGATGTGGGATAGATGAATATAACGTTTCCACGTCTAGGCTACAGAGATTGGATGTGGGCGGAATTTGGGGATTAGAGAGGAGATGTAAAACCTGTTTCATATCTCTAATATACGAAGGTAGCCGTTCCACAAAAGGTCTCAGAATCTGGTCGATGTAAAGACTACCGTTCTGAGTCAAACTATCAATCCCAGATACTATGGGACGACCTGGTGGATCTTGAAGATTTTTATGGACTTTCGGGAGGCAGTAGGTTGCTATCCTAGGGCACCGATTAAGAATAAAGGTGTATTCCTCATCGGATAGCAAACCTTCACCGCGACCCCTGTCCAAAATCTCTTTATAGCTATTTAGAAAGGCATTGGTGGGATCTGATTCTAAAATTCTGTAGGTGTCTTTGTTACTAAGAACATCCTGAACATCCTGAACCATTTTTTCATACTTAGAAGTATCCATCACCACAACATTGCCTCCCTTGTCTGCTTGTTTGATAGTTTGATAGTTATCGTATTATTGTCCCTTAAAGATTTTAGAGCTTCCTGTTCCTTACCAGACAGGTTCTCATCAGGGAAGGAGTCCAGGTTTTTAACTTCTATGCAGTCAATCTCATTTTTGACTGCTTCCAGAAACAAATCAATGTTCCTGAAAGTAGAGAAGTTTGGTGTGAAGCGGCTTTTTGGTTTGAGTTCTGTATATTTAAAAGATGTTTGACTATCATTTTCTTCAAGTAGAGATACCAAGTTATTAAGGCATTCAACATCGCCACTCGAAAGGCCTAGAGATCTTGCCTTTCTATCTTTATTCACTTTGTGGAATTTGTGTAGTGCTAATTTTCTCACAAAAAGGTGTAAATCTTTTACCCATGTGAATCTATCAAAAGCAGGGGCGGGACGAAGGAAAGACCATTTTCCAAAACTTTATAATGAGAGTCGCTAAATTGGAAGGAGGAGAGGTTGATAATTTGTAATCTAGGAATGTCAATAGATTGGGGGGTCAGATCATTAATTAATGGCGTCTCCCTCTCTCTCCCCTCCTCCATTCTCTCCCTCTCTGAGTTCTTGATTGGTATCGTGTTTGGTAATTTGGATATTCCTCCTGATAACCCATTTCTAAAAAATCGACACCCTTTTTAAGAATACTACGGGGAATGCTAGTATTAGGGGTTGCGGGAGTTGTAATTTGTGAATTTAAAGGTGCATTACTTGAATCGGTATCGGATGAGTCATATTCTGAGGTCATATAATTCTCAGAATTATGTCTCAATCGCCGATTTGGAAATTTATAAATATTACCCGTCTTGTAATCCCGAGAGTCCCTAATGATTTCTGTTTTTTCCTGAATTTAATCGATTCTTGGTATCTGTCTAGGTTCAATTTTAGTTTATTTTCCAAGTTAGGGAAGGTAGATTCACTTTTAAACTGATTTAGTTTCTCAATTTCTTCTCCTATTTTTAAATTAGTACCCTCAAGTTTAGTTTTTTCAAAGGTACAAATAATTTCCATGAACCTTCTAGGTACCTGCCGATAATTCCCATTCTTTCATAAATTCAGGGTTATCAGTGTATGCTGTTGGTATATTGCCTCTGGGGATCATCTCCTTTTTGATATAATTTTCTAATGAGGATATCTCCCAACATGTCCTAATTTGCTGTTTATATAGTTTTGTAACTACATTAAATGACTGATTAATATCTGGTGAGGAGTGTTCATTTTCTAATCTATCATTTGAGAAGACGTTTTCAGCATCCCTACACCATGTATTGAAGTCCTGCTTATTGGATAGAAAACCAGTCATAATTGGTTCTAATAGTGTAGGATGTGTGTATATGAAAAATATTTTGTCAGAAGTACATGAAATGATAGGTAACCTAATAGGTACTGAAACCTTAAAAGTTCAAAGTTGATGAAGAGATAGAGGCTATAGGGGACTGGACTCCGTTCACTATTTGTGAGGTTTTTTTTTTCTGTCCACTTCTTTCTTTGTTTAAATTTACCACGGGGATAAGCCCCTTTTACCTCTGGTAACCTCTATAGTGGCAGGGGAGCTGGCTAGTCCAGTCCCCTATAGCCTCTATCTCTTCATCAACCGAAAAATGGCTGGAAACTAGGATGTCACGTACATTTTTTCATCTTCAAGCTGTAATTGTAACATGTGGGCCTAATACTTCTTTTAGATGAACATCCTTAAGTAAAATAGGCCAAAATCTTTGCAGGGACTCTTTAACTTTATTCCAGCCGGTGTCAAAAGTTCCTATCATCCTGATGGGAGTTTTAAAAAAAATGATTTTAAAGTTATGGGAGTCTGTTAGAAGATCCACCCTGTTTGTCATAAGTGCCCTTTTAAATGCCCTTTTTATGCATTTATTCGGGTATCCCTTCTCCTTTAATTGTTGCCTCAAAAGATTGGCTTTAATCTGAAATTCTTCCAGATCTGAACAATTTCGTCGTAATCTGAGTGGTCCTAGGAGGTATTATCGGCAATATCGGTATCTATATTGGCCGATACCGATATTGCCAAAAATACAGAATAGCGGCCGATAATATCAGTAAAACCGATAATCGGTCTATCCCTAGATTTAGGTAACCTAGAAAAACGGTCAAAGTTTTGGCAACTGACATTTAATGTGGATAAGTGCAAGTTAATGCATCTTGGACATAAAAACCCAAGGGCAGAGTACATAATTTTTGATAGAATCCTAACCTCAACATCTGAGGAAAGGAATTTAGGGTTAATTATTTCTGATGACTTAAAGGTAGGCAGACAATATAATAGAGCAGCAGTAAATGCTAGCAGAATGCTTGGTTGTATAGGGAGAGGTATTAGCAGTAGAAAGAGGGAAGTGCTCATGCCATTGTACAGAATACTGGTGAGACCTCACTTGGAGTATTGTACGCAGTACTGGAGAACATATCTCCAGAAGGAAATTAATACTTTAGAGAGAGTTCAGAGAAGGGCTAGTAAACTGCTTCATGGATTGCAGGATAAAACGTACAAGGAAAAGTTAAAGGATCTTAACATGTATCTTAACATGTATAGCTTGGAGGAAAGATGAGACAGGAGGTATATGACAGAAACATTTAAATACATAAAGGGAATCAACACAGTAAAGGAGGAGACTTTATTTAAAAGAAGAAAAACTACCACAAGAAGAGGACAGAGTCTTGAATTAGATGGGCAAAGGTTTAAAAATAATATCAGGAAGTATTACTTTACTGACAGGGTAGTGGATGCATGGAATAGCCTTCCAGCTGAAGTGGTAGAGGTTAACACAGTAAAGGAGTTTAAACATGCATGGCATATGCACAGGGGTCAAGTCCTGGGGAATAAAGTGTGGGAACGCACCCAAGATTCAACCCCCCCTTCCAAAAATAATAATAATATACACACAGGAGATTTGAACTGTGGTTCTTCTGTGCTGTAGTCCTGCTGTTTTGCCTCAAAGCCACTCTCCAGTTCTTGCTTCAGTCAGAAATTCAGGACTTCGGCAACTTGGGAACTTCATAATTTCGGGACTTTGGGAATTCTCTTGCAGAATTAGTAGATAATTCCCCTAATACCGTGGGAATTAAGGAGTTATCTACCAAAAAGCTGAAAGGCCTAAATTGGTCTTTGATGTGCATATTACATAGTTACATAGCGGAAAAGAGACTTGTGTCCATCAAGTTCAGCCTTCCTCACAATTGTTGTTGCTGTTGATCCAAAAGAAGGCAAAACACCTGGTCTGAAGCACTTCCAATTTTGCCACAAACTAGGAAAAAATTCCTTCTTGACCCCAAAATAGCAGTCAGATGTCTCCTTGGATCAAGCAGCTATTACCCCACTAATTACAAATTATATGCCTATATGTTATGTTTTTGTAAGTATTTATCCAATTTCAGTTTAAACATCTGTATGGACTCTGACAAAACCACCTCTTCAGGCAGAGAATTCCATATCCTTATTGTTCTTACTGTAAAAAAACCTTTTCTTTGCCTTAGATGAAATCTCCTTTCTTTCAGCCTAAATGTGTGACCTCGTGTCCTATGTATAGCCCTGTTTATGAATAGATTTCCAGATAAAGGTTTGTACTGGCCCCGAATATATTTGTATAAAGTTATCATATCCCCTCTCAGGCGCCGTTTTTCCAAACTAAACAGATTTAATTTTTTTAACCTTTCTTCATAACTAAAATGCTCCATTCCTTTTATCAATTTTGTAGCTAATTTTGTAAATAAATACATTATTTTGCCCCTGTCCAAATTAAAGAAATAATGCGTGCACGCTCCTGAAGTAATTCACACCAGACACAAGTTTCTGGTTAACGAAAAACTTGATGAATGTTTATTCAGGGTGGATGACATGTCCCTTTAAAAGCAAAATTACATCATAAGCATTCTCAGAGATAACATGAAATAATACATCAATAATTGGTTAAGTGTTAAGTGGTTCACTTAATGCTCTGCCTAGTTAGGGTGATGTCACTGGCATCATGGAGGTCTCCCCCAGATTCCAGCGCCATCTTGCTAATGAGAGTGTTAGTCGATGTTAGAGGGGAAACTCCCTAGCGGCCATTTTAGGTAAATCATATAGAAAGTTGAATAATACTGATTGTGGTTATGTTGAGTAAATAGACATTTTACTAATATTGATTGGGTTAATATTTCTGTCCACAACAGTCCCCCCTTAAAATGACTATTTACGAAAGGAAGGAAAGAAAAGACAGCCAACTACTAGCTAACCCTAATAATGTCCCTAATTTGGCTGCAGCTCATCTGTCTTAACAGGCCTCGAACACTTCACTGCGCAGGTATCCTGCAGTGGCTAACCCACTACATCTCCTGCGTCAGACACCTGCCCGTAGAGACAGACGCTGTCCATATGCTGTCCCTATAAAGCAGTAGTAGTTGTTGTCTGTTTGAAATGATGGGACTGAAGTAGTGTGTGTGGAGTGTCACAGTCAATATCATCAGCATCTTGGTGTATATATATATGGGTGTGGTGCGGTCAATGGTCTGGTTTACGGTCTTTTGTAAGTACCTTTGCACACATGGAACCACACAACAGGTTAGGAAAAGGAAGAAGATCATTACAGTAAGAACTGCCATCCCTATTTGGAAAAGAGTCCTCTGCCATCCACTCATCCATCCAAACCATTTATCCCAAGAGTTAGGAACCCCTAAATTTTTCTTTAATTCATCAGAGAGATTTTCCAATTTTTCTATGGCCATAGTCACTTTACCATTAGGACCAGTATTGTCTGGGATAAAAGTAGAGCACATCATCGTCTCAGGGAGTATTTTACATACGTCCCCCTTTTCAGCTAAAATCATGTCTAAGGCTATCCTGTTTTGGAATGTCATGTGGGAGGTAGCCTGTAACTGCTCGGCTAAGCCCTGTAGGGCATCTCGAGTGTAGTTGACAAAGCGTTGTTGGTTGTAGTAGATGTAATTGATCCAGTTAACATTTTTATTAGCAGTGATAAGTGGGATGAAGCATTCAAATCCTGCTGCCACTTCATCTCTGGCTTTGAATTCATTTGGTACCTCCCTAGGTACTCCAATGGCATCTATGTATACGTGAGGGTCAAAACTACCTCGAATAGGACTGTCTCTTTTCACTCTAAGATGTGTATAGGAGGAATCATATGGACCTTGGTGGTTATCAGGGAAGATGTGAATGGGCATGATAACTTTAGTTAGAGTACATTCTCCCCACCATAAACCAGCCATCTTTGATTTGAGTTGCATGTCACCAATAGATATCTCCCACAGACTTAATCTGATTTACTGATAATGTTGTGGGTGAATTCCGGTAAATTGCATAATAACCAGGGGGAAATTTGCCTACGAATCTACCTGTGGTTCCGTGCATTGTATAGCAAGTGTAATTACCTGGGTACACGGTGACTCCATCCGGTGGTCTGGTGTTCCCTTGAGTAATTGGGTAAGCCTTTTTCCATGACTCACATGCTGATGAATTTACAACGGTTTATGCATAGAGACTTAAGAAACATGTTTCAACATCGGGGGGTAGATTTAGGGGTACTGTGCCTAGGTGGGGCCTAGCTCCACCACAAACATAACAGTTGGTTTTATTATGAGAGTTAGCGTTGTACCTCATCCATTCAAGCCATAAATTAGTATCTGAAAAAACAGTTTCCACAGCCATAGTGTCTTCAAATGTGGGATTGGCAATAGCCACTATGTCCTTGAGAGTCTTGATGTGTGGTTTCAGAGGATTTACTGTCATGTGTGTTGACCCTACCCAGTCAGGTGATGTAAGCATGTCTTGCAAATAAAATGTTCCCAATTTGTTGTATGAGACACCCCCTTTCCAATATATTCCCATTACATATTACCCAGCATCACCTGGGGTGGGATGTTCTATGTTTAAGGTTAGTTTTATTGGAGTAGACCCTGTTGGTTTACACAAAGTCATTCGGTATAACAAAGGTTTCCCATGTCTGTCAACTCGGTCTAAGGCAGTTTGCGGTCTGTAACCCCATGGTCGGCCTGTGTTCCAACCCGCTGCTTTCCACGAGCTACAGTGATGTCCCCAATGACCACCTGTCACACAAATGTATGGGTCCTTCTTGTTAGGTATGTCTTTGTATATTGCTGAGTGTTGTGATTGTGGGAAAGTACAAGTAACAATATCACAGTAATCAAAAGTAAATGTAGCCACATGTGTGTTGGAATAATTGTACCAGAATGTGTAAACATGATTGTCTTTGGTAATAGCAACTTGTTGGGCCTCTAGGAGGCCTAGCAGCAAACATAGACATAAATATAAAAGGCTCATGTTGGTGTGGGATCCGCTTCCTCTGGGTTAGGAACCTTCTTACAGTGTGAAGCGTGTATCCAAGTGTTCTTCCCAGCCAACTTTACAGAGGTAGCTGTAGTCAGTAGTACTTGGAATGGATCATCAAACCTTGGTTCAAGAATATGTTTTCTTAGGAATTTCTTGACCATAACCCAATCACCAGGTAATAACTTGTGCGTGCCTGTATTGGATTCTGGATCTGGAATAGAAGAAAACACTTGTGCATGGATTTTGGTCAAGGCATGAGAGAGTGCAGTTATATATAATCTACCATTGCATCTGACTGAAGTTGAAGTTGTTGTAGAAAGTAACAACCTAACCTGAGTGCTGTCCCAAACAAAATCTCGTAGGGGGATAGGTTAAACTTCCCTCTTGGTGTGTACCTTACACTAAAGAGTGCTATGGGGAGACTCTCCGGCCAGGGCAAATTAGTTTCCTGTGACATTTTGAGCATTCTGGCTTTCAAAGTGCCATTCATGCGTTCTACCTTACCACTACTCTGTGGATGATAGGGTGTGCGGAACGCAAGGGTCACCCCCAGTGCTGCCCAAATTTCTCGGGTCAATAATGCGGTGAAAGATGTACCTGGTCGCTTTCAATTACTATGGGGACTCCGTATCTGCAGATAATTCTGGTGAGTAGGTGTTTAGCGGTCGTTTTTGCAGTAAGGTTGGCAACTGGGAAAGCTTCTGGCTTTCCATGAGCCCATTGGACAACAGCCAGGTACATATTCTTGGGCAAACAGAATTTGAGGTTGATTGTATATATACCATTCTGGATGATTGCTCCTTTGTCCTTCCAGCTTTCCTGTGAGGAAGTAGCGGCCTGTTGCTCTCTTAGGAATCTGAGGTCACTGGGTAGGGTTTGCATGGTGTAAATAGGGGTCTTTTCATCGGACACTCTTCTGTCCACTTCCCAATTCTGGTGCGCTGCATCTTTAGCTGCTTGGTCGGCCAGATGGTTACCATGGGCTTCTTCTGAGTTCAATTTCCCATGGGCCTTGACTTTTAGTATAGCTTCTTCTTCTGGCAGTAGTAAGGCGTCCATTAATTCGCTAATGGTCGCACCATGCTTTACAAGAGTACCTGTTGCTGTAAGGAATCCTCTGATCTTCCATATTAGGCCAAAGTCATGCGCTACTCCTAGGGCATACCTGGAGTCTGTGTAGATGTTGACACGCTTTCCTTCTGATATTCTGTGAGAGCTATCAGCTCGGCTTCTTGGGCTGATTTAGAGGAGGGAAGTGAGGATGCTTGAAGTATTTGGTCTTCTGTGGTGACTGCATAACCAGTATGGTATTGATCCTGTTTGTCTGCGAATCTGGAACCATCCACAAACAGTGTGTAATCAGGGTTTAGTGTACTGTGGGAATATGGGTAGTTTCCATCTTTATCTGTTCAAAGCAATCATGTGGAGCTTCTGGGTCTGGTTCTGCAGGAGGCACACCTTCACATATCTCTGATTTTGGGGGTAACTGATAGTTTTGTAATTTATGGTCTTCTTAGTGACCCCCGTCACAGTAAGTTGTTCGTGTGTTGCAGTGCTCCATTCTTTGGCCATTGGCCCGAGTTCTTTCCATGAGAGATCTGGAGACTTGGTGAAAGACATGGGGAACAGTCCCTTCCCAATGGCGATACAAATGTAATACCTCCATCGGTAGACGGACTAAGATGACAATGTTCCCTTTGGAGTCACAGAATAAGTCTGTCAGTGTAATCTGCACCTCCACCAGGCTAAGTAATTCTTCTTCATAGTATGAGTCAGGACCTGGAGTGTCTCGAAACCACAGAGTGCAATGTAGTTGTGTTTCGGGTTGTTCATCATGCGGAATTGTGGGATTTTAAATCTGTAGTTCCATGTAAACATCAGGATGTGTATGTAAACTGTACCAGTATTATGGAACTCCCACCTTGGGAAGGGGCAGAAGAGTGGCCGGATTCAGAGTATAACATCGTTGTAGAGTAACGTCGTCTGGTAAAAGAAGAGACGTTTGAAGGCGAAGGTGTCTCTGACAAGAGAGATGTTTCGGTTGGACTTGGTTCAGAATAGCAGCGTTGTCATGTCGAGCCAGAATGGTCAGTTTATGTACAAAAACAAAATCATGGGTTTTATACAGGAGGGCACTTGCAGCGAAGACAGCACGCAAACAGGAAGGACCCCCTCTGGCTACTGGGTCAAGCATGCAGGAAAAGTATCCTATGGGGCGCTGGCAGGGCCCATGAGATTGAGTAAGGACCCCGGAAGCATGGCCTATCTTCTCAGAGACAAAAAGTTTAAATGGCAACTCATAGTTAGGTAGAGCAAAGTAACAACTGCAGGCTGATGAGGACAATGTGAAGGGTTCAGTCTTCAAGGCGTCGTAGAGGGGTTGTATGAGTTGAGAGGCTTCAGGAATCCAGGATCTACAGTACGTGATAAGGCCCAGGAAGGCGTGAAGGGCCTGGTGAGTAGATGGAAGGGGAAGATTTGTGATAGCATGAACTCTATCTCTTGTCAGATGATGGGTGCCATGGGAAAGACAATGTCCCAAGAAGACCACGGCCCACCACTGGAGCTTAGCTTTGGAGGCTTTGCAACCCTCTTCTGCGAGGAAACAGATAAGATCTACAGAATGGCGTTCAGCTGTTGGTCATCTGCACAGAGCAGCAAATCATCAACATACTGGAGTAGGACCACATCTGGATGTGATTTCTGCCAGGGTTCTAGTACAGTAGACATTGCTTTGGCAAATTGTGTTGGAGAATTTTGTATATTGCTGGCGGTCATGTATAAATACTGACATGAGGGATCCAAAGGCACACTGAAGAAGGCATTTTCAAGATCAACCACTGTGAAGAATTTAGCAGTTGAAGGCACTTGTGACAACAATGTATGCGAATTTAGAACGACAGCCATGTCCCGTTTAGTAACCTCATTGACAGCACGGATATCCTGAACCATGCGGTATTGGTCTGGTTGGCCCTTTTCAGTTTTCTTCTTTACAGGAAACGGGAGTATTGCACTGTGAAACACATTTGATTAGGGCACCTTTTGCAACCAGACTTTCAACTTACTTGGAGATGGCAAGAGCTTGTGCATGTTTCAAAGGGTACTGTGGTCGCCGTGGCGGGGTAGCTCCTTCGATGAGAGTAACTACCCCAGCTGGGACTCGGAGACGGCCAATATCATCTGGGCCTGTAGACCAAAGTTTAGTTGGGATGGAATCCAGCGCACTTGGGTCATCGGGGACCCTTGCTTCCTCTGTGGGGGATGACATGTGCATGAGTAGGGGTAGAGAGCAAAGAGCTGAAGTGTCTTTACAGGAAAGTGGGGTAAGTAGTTGGACCTGACCATCATCAGTGAAAGAGATAGAAGCCTGAAGACGAGACAATACATCAGCTCCTAGGAGGTTAATAGGACAGGTAGATGAAACAACGAAACGGGAAAGGATGTTAGAACCAACATGCAAGAGTTTTGTTAATGGGTTATTTCGGGGGGTACCATCAACACCCACACAGGAAACATCGAGGTCAGACAAGTAAGAAGGATCTGGCAGGTCTTGTTCTCTGAGAACACTGCGGGCTGCACCTGTGTCAACTAGAAAGGTAGTGGGATGACCCTTGACTGGTAATACTTTGTCCCCTGCAGACACTGCCATAACAGGTGTGTCAGACACAGGTTTGCCGGTTACCTATTGTACAAGATCTAGATGAGACTTTTCGGGGCCAGTGTAATGAAGTGAAGTAGGGTGACTTGTTGGATGATATTGACGGGCAGGACGATAATGATTGGATGCTGGGTGATCAGTCTGCTGGAAGTCATCTGAATCATAAGTACCTAGGGGAGGATATGTGTTAAATTGACTGGGTTGATAAGTAGCTTGGGTGTAATCTTGTGGTGGGTAATATGGTGCTTGTGGCTGTGGATGTGTCTGTGGAGGGAAACCATGTTGAGGACCCACATATGTGGCTGTGTGTGTGTTAGGATGCAGAGGAGGTCTAATAGGTGGCGGGCGAGTTACCCGTGGATGTGGGCTTTGTTATATACACTGAACCCAAGATCAGAAAATGTTTGGGTTAACCTGGAATGATATTTTTCTACTGACTCAAGTTTGTCTTGTATGATATCATTTATGCAAGTTGCCTGGTCAGCTAAATTGTCCTGGGCCCAGGCTTTGAGTTGTTCACAGAAAACAATGCCCGACTGAAAATATGTATCAGTAGTGAGTACAGCATCATTAAAACTCCTTTCCATAATTGGCCAGTAGGCATCCCCAGCCTTGATCTCACATAAACTATACAAATCACGCCAGGCTGCTGAGTATGTTTTACCAATCTGAGCAATTCTTCGGAAAAAGGGCATGGGTTGTTTCTCCGGATCAGGGAGAGAGGTTACCAGGGTCGCAGCTTGGGATGGGTTAAATGTAACATACATTGGCGGGGCTCCTTCCACTGCTGATGAGGTAGGAAGGTGAGCAGCTGCAATGGTTTGTCTTTGGATAGGTCTGTTATTTGAGGGACGGAATGGGCTAAGCTCTGGCACATTATCGTCCCCAGGTGGGACTGGGAGACCATGGTAACTGACAACACCAAGGGAGTTGGGGACCGGAGCCATTTGGGTATCAGAACTGGGAGGGCCAACAGCGATAATCTGGAGGGTGACTAACTGAGACGTAGTGGGATGGAAACCTGAGGCAGGGGGGGAAGCATCAGCAGCCTGAGGTTGTCCTGACGTGACAGACTCATTTGTCCCAACAATCATGAGCGGATAACGGAGGTGTTTATCGGAGGGGCAGTAACAGGGACCAGAGTGGGTGAAGGTGCTGGTTGGGTAAGCTGAGACAGGTGATTGGAAAGGGAGGAGATGAGTGACGTGAGATCGTGGGAAGAGACACCGGAGTTAGAGGTAGGAAGGGAAGGAGGGTCTGAAACAGAAACAGGAGGAGGTGGAGGGGGAGGAGAGATAGGTGGAGTAGTGAACGAAGCCAAGAGGGCGGAAATGAGTGACATAGCATTGGTATCAGAGGGAGGAGGAGGAGGAGGTTCTAACTTGGGAGCTGTAGAGATGGAGGGGGATGGAACAGTGGGAGTGGGGCCAGGGGTGAGGAGAGTGGAGAGGGTGGAGATAAGGGACGGAAGATTACGAGGAAAGGAGGGAGGATCCACTATGGGGGCAGGAGATGTAGGAAGGGGTGGAGGATCAGGAGTGGAATTAGAAGCAAGCGCAGCAGTAAGGGTGGAGATGAGTGACGGAAGATCAGGGGGAGGAGACGGTACGAGTGGAGGAGTAGGTTCTGGAACAGGAGTAGGAGGAATGGAAGGAAGTGGGGAAGTAGGAGTGGTACCGAAAGAAGCGGAAAGGGCTGAGATGATAGAGGAGAGATCGGGGGAAGGAGAGGATACGGGGGGGGGGTGAAGGCTCTGAAATGGGGACAGGGGGAGTAGAAAGTGAAGCGGTGAGAGTTGAAATGAGAGAGGAAAGGTCGGGAGAAGCGGAGGATGCGGGAGGCAAGGAAGGTTCTGGAATGGAAACGGGGTGAATAGGAGGGGGTGGAGGAATAGGAGCCATGGTTGGTGTGAGTGCAGTGGTAAGGGCGGAGATCAGGGAGCAAAGATCGAGAGGGTGAGAGGATACGAGGGGTGATGAAAGTTCTGATATGTGTGCAGGGGGAGTAGGCAGGGGTGGAAAAGTAGGAGTGAGGGCAGTGGTGAGGGCTGAGACTAGAGGGGCGAGGTCAGGAGGGGTGGAGGTTATGGGGCGTGTAGAAGGTTCTGGAATGGGAGCAGGAGGAGTAGGAAGGGATGGAGAAGTAGGAGTGAGGGCAGTGGTGAGGGCTGAGACAAGGAGAGGTCAACAGAGGGAGAAGGAAGGGGACTGGAAATGGGAAGGGGAGAGGAATCTAGAACAAGAGTCGGAGGGGCAGCAGGGTGTGGGGGAATCGGGACAGGAGAGGCAAGAGCAACATTGGGGGGAGGAATCACGGGCACCCCTGGGGACATCATGGGTGATGGCAATGAGGGAATCGGGGCAGAAGGAATAACAGGAAGAGGGGCCAGTGTGGTCTCGGAAGGAACAATACATACGGGGGGTGTGGGAACAGGGGTTGGAGTTATGGGAGGTACTGCAGAGGGTTGTAAGGAAGAAGCGGCATCAGGGGAAGGAATGGGGAAAGATGGTGATGGTAAGGGGGCAACATCAGTAGCGATCTGTGGTAGTGGAGGTGAGGAAACATCAGCAGGAAAAGAAGTTGGGAGCAGGGAGGGAACGGAAGTAGCAGGTGGTATGGCTGACAATGATGGGAGAGGGAAAGGATAATAGTAGGATCCGTCCGCACGGGGTACAGAGGGGTGGGAGTAGGAGGCCCTTTGGCAACGGGGGGTGGAACAATGGTGGGCGGAGATGAGGTAGTGTCTGAGGAGGCGGGACATGGTTCACTCGTGACATTCTGGTCGCCATCATAGGGCGGTGGTCGGGGAACAACAGTGGATGAATCATCATCATTACAAACATTTCTGTGATACACAAATACTGTTTGTCCTCCAAAATCAATTTCCTCTTCTGACCATCCCTCCCATTTGAGACCTCTTGCTACCCGATACCAAGCCTCTACTGCTTTCGTCAACCCATTGTCTAGCAATATACCCTCTTTATCAACAAGCAGTTTCCTCCAAAACTCTGGCTGTAACCTACCACTAGGTGACATTTGAAAACCACAAACTTTCGCTATCTTTTTCATTTTTAACATAGCTTCCTCTCCTGCTCTTTCTTTAACAATGTCACAAGTTGGTAAACCCTTTGGAGGTCTAGCATATTCCTGTCCCATTTTTAGCAAACAAGGTTCTCCCCATAAAAAGGACAGAGATAGGGAGAAGAAAAAGAAGCAATGTCTATAATGCTCGACTGCCACGAGGAATTAATTCCTGTGCGTCTTCCCAAAACGTAGACTAGTCACGGGATCCGCCCACCCGAGATGGTGGCCACGGATCAGTACGGGTGAGCGTGGGTGACTAACACAGCTCTGGGCAACAAGTACAGGCGAGGGAGAGAATCAGAGAGAAAGTGAACGTAGAAAAACTAATCAACAAACATTTACAAGAATCACAACTACGGAGATGTGCGCATAATCCGGAATCGAGTACAAACCACACAAAACACACACATGCAATAAGGGTACCCACACTATGGCCACAACTGAGAAAAAAACAAAGTATTATGAGGAACAACAAAAATGTGAACATAGCAATGGTTAAACAACAAAATAAACCCTGTTCTGCTCTGAACAGTACAACACAATTCACAGCCTTTCTCTAGGCTATCCCCAGCCCTTTACTGGGCGGACAACAAAAAACCCCAACCCTTCTCCGGGTGGTCAACAAAAATCCCAGCCCTTTACCAGGCGGTCGCGTTCCCTATCCGCTAGGCAGTCAAGCAATAACAATAAATGCGTTCCCTGCCGCTAGGCAGTCAAGCAATAACAATAAATGCGTTCCCTGCCCGCTAGGCAGTCAAGCAATAACAATAAATTCGAACCATACACCAGCTGTCTCACACACACACATACACAATTTTCAGGTGGCAGACAGACAATCGACAGGTTCGTTAAAAAGGCACCGGATAAGAGATTACCTGTCTTGTAGCCTTCTGGAAGCCGGAAGAGGACGCGGAGACAGACCGACACAAAACAGGAGAATACAGGCAAACCGCTGTATTAGGAGGTGATCAGGCTCCGGTTGTCCTACTTTCTGGAGGTCTGCTCCGGTGCCGGGTTCCGGCTGTCCGAACCGGCGAGACCCAGTGCCCCACGTTGGGCGCCAAATGATGTGGATATCAATCAATAAATTGATTATCTTCTGTATCTGCCCCTGGCCAAATTAAAGAAATAATGCGTGCACGCTCCTGAAGTAATTCACACCAGACACAAGTTTCGGGTTAATGAAAAACTTGAGGAATGTTTATTCAGGGGGGACGACATGTCCCTTTTAAAGCAAAATTACATCATAAGCATTGTCAGAGATAACATGAAATAATACATCAATAATTGGTTAAGTGGTTCACTTAATGCTCTGCCTACTGAGGGTGATGTCACTGGCATCATGGAGGTCTCCCCCAGATTCCAGCGCCATCTTGTTAATGAGAGTGTTAGTCGATGTTAGAGGGGAAACTCCATAGCGGCCATTTTAGGTAAATCATATAGAAAGTTGAATAATACTGATTGTGGTTATTTTGAGTAAATAGACATTTTACTAATATTGATTGGGTTAATATTTCTGTCCACAACAGTCTTTCAGCCAAATTTACTAATACTAAGTAAAAATTACTTAGTGTTAGTTAATTTTGCCCCTACTCGCTATAGGGGCATGTCTATTAAACAGTGAGCAGCCAGTGTCCCCCCTCCCGAGCCCCCAGCCGTGCCACGCGAGTGGGGGCTTTTAAACTAAAGGGGGAACCTATTGCCCCCCCTGGCCCCCACCCCTGAGCGGTGGGTGGGGGCCCTAAATCAGAAGAATGGGGGGGGACCTATTGTCCCCTGAGTGGTGGGTGGGGGCCCTAAATACCAATAGGGGGACACACCTAATGTTCTTCCCCCCTGGCCCCCACCCCTGAGCGGTGGGTGGGGGCCCTAAATTAGAATAAGGGGGGGAGCCTAATGTCCTCCCCCTGCCCCCCACCCCTGAGTGGTGGGTGGGGGCCCTAAATTAGAATAATGGGGGGACCTAATTTCCCCCCCTGGCTCCCACCCCTGAGCGGTGGGTGGGGGCCCTAAATATCAATAAGGGGGGACCTAATGTCCTCTCCCCTGGCCCCCACCCCCGAGCGGAGGGTGGGGGCCCTAAATTAGAATAAGGGGGGGGACCTAATGTCCTCCACTCCTGCCCCCACCCATGAGCGATCAACATGATATTAAATGTATGCTTACTAATGCAAGAAGCCTAAATAACAAAATGCGGGAACTAGAGGCAGGAGCATACACTAAACAATGATATAATAGGCATTACTGAAACATGGTGGGATGAGACACATGACTGGACAGTTAACTTAAATGGGTACCTGTTATTTAGGAAAGATAGGAAAAACAAGAAGGGTGGTGGGGTATGTTTGTATGTCAACCATGAGTTAAAGCCAAATCTTAACCCCTTAAGGACACAGCTTCAGAAGCTGGACATACCCTTAAGGACACAAGCAATTTTTGCATTTTTTGCTGTTTGTGTTCAAATGCAATTTGCATCTCTCTCATTTATTGTACCAACACATATTATATACCGTTTTTCAGACAACAAAAAGGGCTTTAATTTGATGTGACATATACATATATAAATTCTCATTAATTAAGTTTTGGCAATAATAATGTGTGCATAATATGTACAGCTTAGGAAAAGTAATTCAAAATCAATTAATTTATGTGTCTTGATTTACAAAGTGCATAATATGTGTAGGATTTCAGTTTATTTTGAAAGACCTTGTAGGTCACAAACTACAAGGTCTAAAATAAAATTTCAATGTGAAAATTTGGTATGTTTGTCTTGGAAGTTTAATACCCATTACAGGAAACAAAATTGCAACACAAAAGTATATATTTATATAAAGTAGACATCGCAGGCTATTTACCTAAGGTAAGTTTGACACTTTTTGCGTAGCCATTTCACCACCAATCTCTGCTAAATATTGGAGTAAAATTTTATTTTTTCTCTATTTTGGCATATACACATATTACAAGGTTTGTATGTAATGTGTATTTTGTAAATCTAGTGTGTGCTATCCCTGTACAGAACCCCATATTGTGTTCAGCTACATCTGCTGAGTAAAACAATACCCCCATTGTATACCTTTGCCCCTATTCTGTGAAGCTACAATGCCATATAGGAGACCATGCTATTTCAATTTCTATAGTTGGAATTTTCATAGATGGTCATATGTCTGATTTTGTGGCATTGTAACCATTTGACTGTTCAAATAACCCCACAAAGGCCTTCCATTTGAGAAAGCAGACACTCCAAGGTATGTTATTAGGCATATATTATACCTTAACTTGCCACCATTTTTTCACCAATTTATTTAAAATTTTGTGGTGAGAAATTTTTTAAAATTTTTTTTACATACATGTTGCATTTTTGCTGGGTATTTCTTACATTTGATAAGTGCTACTGTCATAAATTACCCCTAAGTATGCTCAATTACCTCTTCTGAGTAAAACAATAAGCCCAATGTATAACCTGGGCACTATTTTGTGAAGTTACAGTGCTGTGAAAGAGACGTGACAAATTCAGGTTTTTAAGTGTGAATTTACATGGAGAGTTTTAATGGGTCCGTATTCTATTTTTAAATATGTTAGCAGGCTGCTTTTTTCAACTACCCCAAAAAGGCATACTATTTCTTAAAGAAGACACCCGAAGGTATTTCAAAAGGCAAATTTTGAACCTTAGCGTGGGATCATTTTTCCGCTAGCTTGTACCAGATGTAGTGGTAATAAGCATTTTTTTTCTGCCTTTTTGACACACAGTGAGTTTGTACTGTATATTTTGCAAACCTTATGTGTGCTACAGCTTTATAATACTTTATATGTTGCTCAGCTATGTTGTCTGAGTACAGCAATACCCCCGTATGTACCTTTGCCAGGTATATGTGGACATTGAAGGGGCACATTTCAGACACAGCCATTGCAGGTTTTTTCAAACTTTGAATTTTTACGCTGTGTTGTTACCCCACTTTAGAGTTTTTTTTAGCAGGCTATATATTCCAACTATCCCATAAAAGCATACTGTTTCTTAAAGAAGACATCCCAGAGTATTTCAAAAGGCATATTTTGAACCTTAGCGTGGGATCATTTTTCTGCTAGCTTGTACCAAGTGTAGTGGTAATAAGCATTTTTTCTGCTTTTTTGACACACAGTGAGTTTGTACTGTGTATTTTGCAAACCTTATGTGTGCTATGGCTATATAATACTTCCTATCTTGCTCAGCTATGTCGTCTGAGCACAGCAATACCCCCATATGTACCTTTGCCAGGTATATGCGGACATTGAAGGGGCACATTTGAGACACAGCCATTTAAGTTTTTACATTTTTACGCTGTGTCCATACCCCACTTTGGAGTTTTTTTTGTAGGTTAATTATTCCAGCTACCCCATAAAGGCATACCCTAGGGTATTTCAAAAGGCATATTTGAAACCTTAGCGTGGTATTATTTTTTCGCTAGCCTGTACCAAGTGTAGAGGTAATACGCATTTTCCCCCTTTTAAAAACATTTTTAAAACTTTTTAAACTTTTTTGAAGTTTTATTTAGCTTTTAACAATTTATTTTACTATTTTAAAACTTTGTTTAAACTTCAAAAAGTTTTTTCCACTTTTAATTGTTTTTTTTTACTTTTAACCCCTAACTAGACTAACCGTAAATCCCCCAATTTCCCCACTAACTTCTACCCACCCTAGCTAAATCAATAAATATTTTAAAATATTTAAATTAATTAATTAAATACATTTAACCCCTGAGGATTAAAAAAAAATAAAAATTAACCCTCAGGGATTAAAAAATACTTTAATCTGTTATCTGTATTTTGATCACTGCAAGCAGTGATCAAAGGGCAGGGAAGGGGTTAAATTTTATTTGAAAGAGGTGAAGGAGGGTGGGATTTTGTAACTAACTTTTTTTTTCTTGCAGAGAGAGACAGATCAGCACAGATCGGGTTTCACTGCAGCACGTTTGATCGCTATGTCAGAGCGATCACATGGGCTGAATCAGTGAAACAGCCCATGGTAGTGTGCCCTCCGATATGGTGACACACTACAGGAAGATTAACACCACAATTGCCGTGATTGTGGCAATCAAGGGTTAATTTTCATTTTGGACGGAAATTTTCCGTCCAGCGTCCTTAAGGGGAGTGCTGCAATGACGGAAAATTTTCGTCCTGCGTCCTTAAGGAGTTAAGCAAGTGGAATGTGATGAGGAAAATGTGGAAGTTTTATGGGTAAATATCTGCTTGGGGGAAAATAAGGGAAATCAACTATTGGTTGGGATATGTTATAAACCACCTAATGTTAATATTGCTGAGGAACATCAGCTGTTTGAGCAAATTGAGAAAGCTGCAAATCTCGGGAACACTTTAATTACTGGAGATTTTAATTACCTGGACATAAATTGGGACAGAGGGACTAGTAGCTCAGCAAAGGGAATTAGGTTTTTAACCTTGTTAAATGACACCTTAATGACACCTTCATGTCACAACTTGTACAAGCACCAACTAGAAAGGACGCTTGTCTGGACCTGGTTTTAACAAACAACGTTGATCTTTTGACCAACATTTAAGTAGGTGAGCACTTCAATCCTTTGAAATAAACTCAGGAAAACAAACATGGGGTATACTAAAACATATAATTTTAAAAAGGCCAATTTCTTTAAGTTAAGGGCAGCTTTACAATATATTGACTGGCATAAACACTTTAGTGAAAAGAACACTGAGGATAAATGGAACATCTTCCAACAAATATTAGAAAGGTACATTTCTCAGTATGTACCATTGGGTAATAAATATAAAATAAACAAATTAAAACCAATGTGGCTTAGTAGAGA